TTACATCATATTTATAATGAATGCACAACGCCCCCCCTTATCAATATCATTTATATCATAATCTATAATGAATGTACAACCCCCCCCTTTATCAATATCATTTATATCTAATTCACAATGAATGCACCCCCCCCTTTATTAATATCATATATATCATAATTTATAATGAAGCACCCCCCCCCCCCCTTAACAATATCATATAACCCCCTTATCAATATCATTTACATCATAATTCATAATGAAAGCACAACCCCCCCCCCCCGCTTATCAATATCATTTACATCATAAATTTATAATGAATGCAACCCCCCCCCTTATCAATATCATTATATCATAATCTATAATGAAATGTACAACCCCCCCCCCTTATCAATATCATTTATATCATAATCTATAATGAAGCACCCCCCTCCCCCTTAACAATATCATATAACCCCCCCTTATCAATATCATTTACATCATAATTCATAATGAATGCACCCCTCCCCCCCCCCCCCCTTCAATTCATCAACATATTCATATATCATAACTTATAATGAATGCACAACCCCCCCCCCCCTTATCAATATCATTTACATCATAATTCATAATGGATGCACTCCCCCCTTATCACAATATCATTATACCCCCCCCCCCTTATCAATATTTTTTATCATAATTCATAATGAATCACCCCCCCCCCTTTATCAATATCTTTTTTATCCTAATTTCTAATGAATGTACAACCCCCCTTATCAATATCACTTTATATCACGATTTATAATGAATGCACCCCTCCCCCCCTTAACAATATCATTTATATCATAATATATAATGAATGCACACACACCCTTATCAATATCATTTATATCATGATTATAATGAATGCACTCCCCCCCCCCCCCTTATCAATATCATTTATATCATAATCTATAATGAATTCACCCCCCCCCTTATCAATATCATTTATATAATAACTTTATACTGAAAGCACAACCCCCCCCTTATATCAATATCATTTATATCATAATCTATAATGAATGCAACCCCCCCCCCTTTTATCAATATCATTTATATCAATAATTATATCATACATTATGATTTAATATCATAATGTATAATGAATGCACAACCCTATTAACAATTTCATTTATATCATAACTTATAATGAATGCACCCCCCCCCCCTTAACATATCATATAACCCCCTCTTATCAATATCATTTATATCATAATCTATATTGAATGTACACCCCCACCCACCCCCACCCCACCCATTCTAACCCCCCCCCCTTCCTCCCGCAGGAGTTCTACTCGACCTACGATGTCTGGACAGGGATTCGAACCGCCATTACACTCGCCCTCTTCTTCATCTTCAGCGTGACTATCATCCTTTACAAGAGCAAGTGTAAACCCCGAAGGAAGTATGAGCTATACCCGAGCCTGGAGGATATGCCCGGAAGACCGCTGGATTATTATGATTATTGGTATAACAGCCCGGCCAGGTGGGTGCGGAGTGAGTGTGTTTGGGGGGTGGGGGGTGGGTGTTGGGAGGGGTGGGGTGGTGGGGGGGTTGTGGGTGTTTTTTTTTTTTTTTTTGGCTTGTGGTGGATTTTATAATTGTTTTTTTTTTTTTTTTTGTTTGTTTGTTTAATGTTTTGTTTTCTGTATTCCTTTGTTTATTTCATTCAGGTTTTGTAACTAATTTTTCTCGGGTTTTATTTTATTTTTTTTATTGATTGGTTTTCATTGTCTTATATGAATGATTAGGATTAGCCTTTGTGATTGATAATAACTTCCATTTTAATACTTATGAGTTATGTTTGTTTTTTCTTCTTCTTTTTTTGGTACAATTTGTTATGAATGGGTTTTGTGTCGGATTATATTTTGTTATATTTTGAGCTTTTTGTAAATTATTGTGATTTTTTTTCAATTGTTTTATGATTGCTTGTGGGTTGACTACGATTAGAAATATGATTGGTCGACTTTATTAATCAAAATTAATTATTCTTGTGTTACTTTACAGAAACCATACTGTGTTCTTTGCCCTAATCTCATTAATATTCTCTTTATTTCATTCCAATATGACCTACTCAACTACAAAATTTTATTATCCGTTACTATAACAGAAAATGCACCTTTATAGAAAACGTACTGTACTTTTTCAGCCTAAACTCATTTATTTTTCCTTTCTTTTTTTTCCTAATATGAATTACTTTACTACGTCATTTTACTACGATTCCTAGACTATTGATGCTACTACTACTGTTGCTATTGCTACTACGGCTACTACTATTACCACCTTCACTACTACTGCTACTATACGTGCTATTATTACTATTATAATTTCTACTCTTACTGTTGCTGTTGATGTTACTTGTACCAAAAATATTCTATCACTATTACTCTTACTATTACTATTCAATTGTTATAATGATAAGGATAATGATATTGATAATGATGATTTATAGGGAGGATGGTAATTATAATGATCATAGTAATTATGATGGGAAGGAAAATGATGATGATAATGATGATAGTAATAGTATTTTTAATTATGATGATGATGGTTATGATAATAATAGTAATGATAATGATGATATAAAAGATTATAATAATGATAGTATTAAATGATCATCATAATAATAATGATACAATATATGCTGATGATATTAATGGTCATAACAAAATGATAACAAATAATAACGATAATGATAATACTAATACTAATTATAACAGTTATAATGATGATAATCTAACATAACAATAATGATAATTGCATATCATGTTAACAAAGATCATAATAACACAAATAAGTGTGATGAAATAGCAATAACGAATAGAGATCAGCATAATGAAGATAATGTTACACCGATATTTAGGGACTTCAACCTAATATATAAATAGACAGACAGACAAACTGAATAGATACAGCAAATGTTGAATTTACAGAAACGAAACCATGACAAAGAAAAAGAGTGATAAAAGAAAAAAACGGAAAATAATCAGTATGCTCTTTTAACAAAGTTTGTAATAGAGTCAACTGGTAATAATTGAGCCAATTATGTTTAACAACTACGGGCTTCGCTATCTATAATAAACAGAAACAGAGTCAATATTACACTCAATACTGCACGTTTTCTTTACATGTTATGGGACACAGAATAGCTAGAACTATTATAAAATTAGTTGTATGTTCTTTAACATTAATTGTCATACTTCAAAGCAATAGATGTATAAAGTGGTGATGACACCAAATGAAACTTACTTAATGAAATATCAAATGTTCGTGGATCTTTTTTTTTTTTTACATTGTTAAAAGGAGAAATATATTAAGTGGAGAGAGAGAGAGAGAGAGAGGAGAGGAGAGAGAGAGAGAGAGAGAGAGAGAGAGAGAGAGAGAAGAGAGAGAAGACAGACAGACAGAACAGAACAGAAACAGAGAGTGAGAGAGAAAGAGACAGAGGGACAGAGACAGACAGGCAGACAGATAGACAGACAAACAGACAGAGACAGAAACAGAGAGACAGACAGACTGACAGACAGAGACAGAAACAGAGAGAGAGAAAAAAAAATTAAAAGCTTAGGTGCTAAAAAGTGTCCATGTTTTGAACAAAGCTCTGACGATATTCTTTCGCTAGTGTTCCAATATATTTCTCTCTCCTACACGAACAATTACTTCCAATTAAAGAAAGGGAAAAAGAGAGAAAGAAAAAAAAAGGGGAAAGGGAACCATGAAGGGTACATGAATAGATTTGACCTTTGACCTAATATGGCTCTCTGCAAATAGCCTCAATGGCCTGACATTTCCAGCTGATGAGAAAGAGAGAAAGAGGAAGAGTGGAGAAAAAATATATATAACGATTTTTGGCTTTATTCCATCTGCGCGCTCGCTAAGTATGTAACTTTTAAATAGCTTCAAACACTACGCTTTCAAGACAGAGGAGAGAGAGAGAGAGAGAGAGGGGAGAGAGGAGGGAGAGAGAGGAGAGGAGAGAGAGAGAGGAGAGAGAGAGAGAGAGAGGAGAGGGGGGGGGGGAGAGAGAGAAGGGAGAGAGACAGAGAGAGAGGGAGAGAGACAGACAGAGAGAGAGAGAGAGACAGAGAGAGAGAGAGAGAGAGAGAAGGGACAGAGAGAGAGAGAAAGAGAGATGAAAAACAAAATAAAACAGAAAAAAATATATACATTTACAAAATGACCTCTGACCTCATTTGATCAACATACACCTCAACCACTCAACCTACAAAATACCATCAAAATCTGAACTTCAATCAAACCAAGAAAGATGAATATTTGAATATCACTAAAAACAAATAAATAAATAAAATAACCCCCTCCCCCCCCAAAAAAAAAAAACTATACACCTCTACACAAAAACCTGACCTAACACGACCTTACACCCTCTCCCTCCCCCCACCCCTTCACAACCAGCAGATACCCTCAATGACCTGACCTTTTCTCAGACTCCTGTCCGTCCGCAGTAACGACCCCAGCCAAAAGGTCAATGGGGTGGAAGTATTAGGAAGATGCTACGACGGTGGACGAGGTGAAACGGGGTCAGCGCCATTGCCTAAGAGGTCAATAGGATCTTACTCAAGCCTTAACAATTCCTTCAGGTAAGATAGGGTCGAAGGGGGAGAGATGGGGGAGGGAAGGTGGAGAGATGGTGGGGGAAAGGTGGAGAGATGGGGGAGGGAAGGTGGGGAAATGGTGAGAGATAGTGGGGAGAGTGCAGGAAAGATGGAGAAGGTGGGGAAAGGTGGATAGAGGTAGATAGAGATGGAGAGAAGGTGGAGAGATGGTGGATAGAGGTGGAGAGAAGGTGGGGGAAAAGTGGAGGAAGGTGGAGATAAGAATTTTTTTTTTTTCTTTTTTTTTTTTTTTTTTTTTTGAGGTGGTCCAGTTAGGTGGAAGGAAATGGTGGAGCAGGCTGACGGGTTATATAAAATGATAATCATGATAAAGAATCATGATAATGTTGATCATGATGATGATAATGGTGATGATGATGATGATAAGATGACGATGATGATAATGACAATGCTATCTGCAATAATTATGACAATAGTGATCATGATGATAATATGGTGATGGTGATGACAATAAAACAACAATAATTATGATAACAGTGATAATGATGATAAGTTGATGTTAATAACAATGGCAATGTTGACAGCAATAATGATGATGATAAAAGTTATAAGGACGATAAGATGTTGGTGACAATAACAATGACAATGCTAATAGCAATAATGCTAATGCCAATTAGTATAATAAAGATAGAATGATGATGATAATGATAATGTTAGCAATGATGATAATGCTGGTAATAGTGGTAGTAATAATGAAAACAATAATGATAATGATGACAACAACGACAACAACAGCAGCAACAACATAATAACAATAATGATAACAATGATAATAATGATAATGATAAACATCATGATGGTAATAATAACAATAATGATGGTAATGACAATGATAATAATGATGGTGATGATGATGATAATAATAATAATAATAATAATAATAATAATAATGATAATAATAATAATAGCAATAGTAATGATAATAGTAATGATAATGATGATGATATAGAGTTACAGTAATAATGATAATATTAATAATGATATGATAATAATGATATAATAATAATATAATAATAATAATAATAATAATAATAATAATAACATAATAATAATAATAATAATAATAATGACAATGATTAATAATATGATAATAAAGTAATGATAATAATAATGATAATAATGATATAATGGTATTAATGATATATAATAATAATAATAATAATAATAATAATAATAATAATAATGTAGACAAAAATAATAATAATATTGATAATATTAATGATAATAATAGTAATAACAATAATGATAGTAATAATGATAGAAATAATAATAAATATAATTATAATAATTATAAAAAAACATTGATGATGATGATGATGATAATAATAATAACAATAATAATGATAATGATTATAATAATAATAATAATAATAATAATAATGATAATGATAATGATAATGATGATGATAATGATAATGATAATGATAATGATAATGAATGATAATGATGATAATGATATGATAATAATGATAATGATAATGATAATGATAATGATAATGATAATGATAATGATAATGATAATGATAATAATGATAATGATAATAAATAATAATAATATAATAATAATAATATAATAATAATAATGATGATAATGATAATGATGATGATAAATATAATGATAATGACAGTCGTAGTAGTAGTAGCAGTAGTTGTAGCAGTAGTTATTGTGGTAGTAATGATGATGCTAATGATAACAATAATGGTAATGATAATGATGATGATGATGATAATTATAATGAAAATAATGATGATTATAGTAATGATGATAGTGATAATAATAATAACAATAATAACAACAATAATAACAATAATAATAATAATGATGATGATAATAATAATGATGGTAACTGTACTACAGCTACTACTACTATTGATAATAATAATAATAATAATAAGAGTAATGATAACAACAACAACAACAACAACAACAACAACAACAATAATAATAATAATAATAATAATAATGATAATTATAGTAATGATAATAATGATATTAAAGTAATAATAATAACAATAACAAAAAAGAGGAATAATAGCAACACTAATGATAATGATGGTGACAATAATCATAACAACAACAACGCAGCAATAATAATAACAATAATAATAATAATAATAAACTCCTTAAGCTATTAAACCCACCGTATTTTATTTGCCTTTTATAGCCACGCCCCCAGGAACAGCTGATCTTCCACAGCTGTTGTTGTTTAAAGTTTTTCCCCGAATTATTTTATTGTAATTTTAAGATATCAGTGTTATGGGGATGTGATGAATAGGAGGGTGTGGTGATTACGGTGGAAGAGGAAGAGGATGATAATGGTGGTGATAACAATCATGATTATAATGTGATAAGGGTAATGATAAGGATAATGATAATGGCAATGTTAATGAGAGTGACATTGGTAATGACAATGCTAATGCTAATTATAATAATAGTGATAATAATAATGCTGTTAATAATGATGAAAATTACGATAATAATGATAACAATAATAATAATGATGATAGAATAACCAGCAACATAACAAAGCAGAAATAATGATAACAGTAGCAGTAATGGTACTAGTAGTAATAACGCCAATAATCATAATGACAATGATAATTAAGCACCAGTAATTACAGGACCAATTATGATAATTTACACAAACTCACCGATTAGTCTCGTATCATTTCGTTTATTAATAACAAATGAGAGCAGGATATTTAGAGTTAGAATCCCTTTTGTAGAATTAAGTAGCGTTTTTGTTTCAGATTCCAAATTATTGTTGATTTTATTTGTTAGGATAATGGAGATTATGATAAAGATTATGATAATGACGATAATGGTAATGGTAATGCATGTTAATGATAAGAATAGTGTTAATATTGATTATAATAATTGTTGCATTGATTGTAACATAAATGATAATAGAATTAGTATTAACATTTATAATGATAATATTTGTATTGATTGCAATTATATTGATTGATATATATAATATGAATGATAGTGGTAATGATAATAATAATATGAATAATAATAAATAATAAAATATAATAATAAATATAATAACAATAATGATAATAATGCAATGATGATAATAAAGGTAATGATAATAATGACATATTTATTCTTTACCTGTTCCCCCGCCCCCTCCGCTGCCCCCCGCTGACCCCTACTGACCTCCTCCTCCTCCGGCAGGGTCAAGAGTCTCCCGGGCAGCGTCATGAGGATCAACTGGTCCAGGATGAGTTCCTCCGAGAGAGACGACGTGTCCCAGACCCATTCGGTACGTGAGAGGTCCCACGACGTCTTCCCTTATTTGGGATGACCTCGTGCTGTTCATAGGGGGGTAATACGGTTATTTAGGACCCTTTAAAAGAGGGTTTTTGTTATATAGGGGCGTCCGGTAGTCCCGGTTTGGCCTCTTGGTTACTGGTTGTCTAATTCCTGGTCTTCTTAGAGCTCGTCTTGTACACAAACACAATCCACCGAGTTTTATTTTCGTCTATTTGTGAATAACCTGTTTAGTGTTTGCTTTTATGCAGTTTGCACGTGATTAGATAAGCAAGACGAACGAGCTGTTTTGTTATTTTTATTTTGTAAGTCCATCCACCAGACTTAGTTGCAGTAAGTAGAACAAAAAAATATTTCTTTCCCCCTTTCTCCCCCCTACTCACTCCTGGATAATGAAGCTTCTTGTTTGTTTGTTTTTAAAGTCGAGTCTTTTACATACGAGATCCCTTTTCTAGGCATAACCATCTGTGTCAGTGTCTTCTGCATTCTACTTTTGGTCTTGAATTTAGACCCTTCCCTTTCATACAGTCTCAGTTCAGTAGTTTTTTTCTTCTAAGTTCTAGTCCCTACTGTGGCCTTCAGTCTAATCGGTAAGTTTTTGTTTTTTATTTCTTTATTCATTAATATATTAACCAAGCGGATTCACGCCGGGATGTCTGCTCTGTTAAATCACTCGGTGGGCTTTTGTCCCGCTGTTGTTTGGCTTCATTTCAAGTAGTATCGAAGGCAGGTCTGCTTGGTGCTTCCTCCGTAATGATAGAAGATATCAAGGTCCCCATCCCGCTGCACTTCCTCGGCAACTCTCCCCATAACTCCCTTATTTTGACTAGTCACTACTGCCCTTGTCCGTTAACAGCCTTGTTAATTAGTTCTCTAAGGAATCACCTCTTCCATTTGACCCAACTTGACCTCGACTGCAAGCTGAGGTCGACTGCTCGAAGTTTTACTTGAATGTCCCTTCTTATGCATTGCCTTTTGCGTTTCCCTCCCTCCCCCCTGTGCACATAGAAGCCTTCCTTCACAATACTACTCATTCCTTTACAGATTATACATATTCCATCTTTTGCAGTTCATCATGCTTTCTCCTTTCGAACATTTTAGACAATGTGCCATTCACTTTCAATAACGCTTTTTGCTATCTTTATTCTTATTGCCTCAATGAAACGAACTAAATATTATTCAAGTTTCAAACACGTTTCCTTTTTATATGTGCTTCTTCCTGCGTATGTCCAGGAGTCTTTCTATAACATGGAAAATGTATTCCTAATGACATGACTAATTTTTCAATGTCGTCTTCTTTTCTCATTATCCTACTGCCTCCTGTTGCTGCCGTATACGTAATGCTCTTTGGTTTGTGTCTTTGATTTCAGCTTAATTCTTGTTATGTATGATTCTCAAAGTATCTCTGGTTCTTTTTTCAGTGCCACTTTTACGACAGTTATAAATACAACTGTATATTTTTTACTTTTAGTTTTATATTTACAGATGTTAGTTCTTTTGTTTCTTAAAGAGCCATGCTAGCTTGCAACCCGTTATGCTGTCTCTTTAGTATGAGTCATTTTCTGTTTATGACACTTCTGGATCAGTCACCCAGCCTGCAATTCTTAATACTGTCATGTTACCAAAATTTGCATCTGATTTTGATTGCTACTTTCTTTGCCATGAATCTTAAATCTCCCATGCACGTATTCAACCATTTAAAACCCCTGAAATCCCGTAAAAATATCCTTCTTTTTATCCGCCAATTCCCTTTTATCATTTGGCCTCTGATTCCAGCACGACCCTTCCTCCACCAAGTCGTCTCCCCGTTCCCTCTGCCTCGTCGTCCCTCGCTTGGCCCTAGTCGACGGATTCTTTTTCCTGGTAGTGCATGCCACTGACCCCCCCTACCCTCCCTTTTCCTTCTCCAGGCTCAAGATTCCCCCAGGCAGCTCTCTGAGGAACCGTGGGACAACGGCGAGTCCTGCCGAGCGTGACGGCCTGCTCCCGACCCACTTGGTCCATCCTTCCAGGTTGTGGTCCAGTCGGTAGGTCTGGCCTTCTAGTCTTGCCCAAGTTAGTCTGTCAGTCATGTCTGGCCAACCTGCCCTCC